TATGTGTTTTTTTCTAATATAGGTATGATTCTTAGTACTCTTGAATATAATGTTTGATTCATTATATAGTTTTAAACGATCTTTAAAAATTTAATGTGGTGTCTGCAAAAATAATTTAATAGGTTTAGTTTCAGCGAAACTAAACTACCATATCCAAACCAATTTGGCTGTAAGAAAACAACCAATTTTTTTTTTTTTTGTAATCTCTTATTCTTCTTCTGATAAAGTCTTTTTTTGTTTCAAACCCAGTTTGTATGGAGGTACTGAGAGTCATAGATTTAAAAATGTCGTTCTTTACATGTTAATTACAGTGTTTTAAAATATATTATATTATTTAATTAAAAGGTTTAAACTGTTCCATCATTTCAACAAATTTTAAAAGTTTGTCTTCTCACATATAAAAAGATAAAAGAAAATGACTGCAACTTTAATATTATAGTTTACTTAATATTGTTATGCTAAACACATAACATTTAAATTTATACATTTTCAAACACAAATTATACTTTCACTCTTCTATTATATAAGATTATTTTTTAAGTATTGATTTCCGTACAAAATAATTAGTTTATTAAATGATTCAAAATGATTGACTAACAAATATAAATTATATAAAAATTACTTTAAAAAAACATCTTTTCTCCCGCGCGTTTACGCGCGGGTGGTTTCCTAGTATATATAATGTTGGGGTATGTATGTGGACCAAAACCTAACTAGTCTCCAGCGGTATAGTATTTACGAATAGTTTTGTTTCGAATTTTCAAATAAGATCTAAATCATTGTCATACTCGTATGGTCAAGCGAATTACTTGTACATATATATTCCCTAAACTGTACACCTATTATATTTCACATGGAGATGTCTATGTTGTTTATCTCGAGTAATAAAAAAACAAGAAGGTACAAACTAAGAAACAATACCTGAACCTGATCTCCAATGTTAACGATCAAAGCATTGGGGACGGATCTAACAGTGACCCAGCAGTCACCGCGTCGGACCTGTAGGCCAGCGACATTCTCGTCGGAGAGGACAATGGTGATGCCACCAGGGTCAGAATGGGAAGAAAGACCTAAAGTGAGGTGTGGCTGAGGGCATTTTGGGTAGAAATTTGCCCTCAGACTAGCCCCGACTTTGTCTTCACCTCCAAAGGCCTTCATGAGATGGTTTGGTTCTAAACCTAAACTCTCTGACAATGTCTCCACCAACCTCTCACACAGTTTCCTCACTTCTTCTCCGTACTCTTCGATCAATTCTCTGCACATTATTTGTTTCCTCCAAATGTTAATTACAATTATCTGTACGTAGATACATATATATATATATATATATATATAATATAACATGGAAAATCATCATGATTAGTTAAGTAAAACAATTTCTCAATACTAGTTTAATAATTTGTTGATTATAGACCAACTATTTGTGAAACTGGTTTACTACATTTGTGAACTAACCATAGTAAAAAACAAACAGTAAAAAGTTCGAGGATGTCGATGAGACACCAGGTTTACATTATTACATACATATAATTCGACCAGAAAATATATGTATAATATACATATATAAGCAGTTCAGGTTTAGAATAAATTCGTGTTTCACATGGGTATGATGACCACATGAAACGTGTTCACACATGAGACACGTGCCTAAACAAACATATAGACCAGACGGCCATATGTGTACGTATATGCAAGTTTTTTTGGTAAAAATCAGATGCATAACACCTAAAGTTCTTTTTTTTTTGGGAAACACAACACCTAAAGTTCTTTTTTTATTAAAAAACACAACACCTAAAGTTCAAAACACACACGAACGTGCTAGAACATGATTATTAGGAATTTCTTATGGATGGAATTCTTAGCGGAATTAAAAAATCTTCTCTTAAATTTTAACTAAAAAATTAAGAATCGATTCTTAAAACTCTTCTTTAAAAATCGGTTCTTAAAAACTTTTTAGTCAAAAGTTAAGAGACGATTTCTTAGTTCCGTTAAAAATTTAATCCTTAAGAAACTTCCCAATAATGATGCTCTTACGTTAATCTCCCATGCAAACATTCAGCTAGCAAGATATCTTTTTCGGTGATTGGTTTCGTCAACAACCATACAGTCAGAAAAAAAAAAAACGTATTTCTACTATATATACCAAAACAATATGTAGACGTAGATGATGAAAACAAAGAAAAGCCAATGTCATGGACGTTTATATAATAACAGGTTTGTACGACCTCCACATATAGCAGTGCCGGCAAATTAGAAGGATAAGTGGTGCGATCGCCAACAACCCAAATCGCCCAAATCCATCTTCACTTGTATCATAATAGTTAAAGTGCCCAATATTTTTATAAAACATATATATATATATATATATACTTATACAAAAATATGAAATTAGATAAAAGGGTTCAAATATATTATATATGTACAAAGTTTTGTTTTCATCACAAATACTGATTAATACTTTTAATAATTAAAATTTAGTTACATACAATTTTAAAGTTAAAAATAATTAGTGTTCTTCAATCAGAAAATAATCATATGTTCTCAGTACCTGATAAGGTATAATATGCGTATAACTATTTAACAGGTAAATTCCATTTATCATTTTGTATTCTGTCGATCTGACTAATAGTGTATATGTATTGTGCATATTAGCATATGCTTATATATATGATATACCTTATATACCTTATCTTAGGAGGCTGAGATGGCCACTTGGAAGGGTTTCTTATGGAAGATGGCAAGTAATTGAGGAAGAAATATTCACTCCAATCTAATTTAGCATCTTTCACAACACCAATCCTGCTTCCATAGCCTTCGTACGTGTCAGGTGAGTTTGCGTACTTTAGTTTCTCCTCTACCGGTAAATCAAAGAATTCTCGCCACGCTCCTCTCACTCTCTCCATCAGACCGTGGTCTACACCATGGTTCACCAGTTGGAAGAAACCCCACTCCTCACATGCTTTCCTCACTCGCTTCAGCCCCTCCGGTTTCCTCCACACGTCGCCCATGTCTAGCACGGGGATTTCCACGTCAAAACCGGATTGATCAGAGTTGTAGACCGGTCTCTGATTCGTGGGTTTAACATACCGGTTTGGGACAGTGGATACGCCGGCTTGGGACAAGGCTTGAACTGAAACAATGGGCTCAGGCCAGCTTGCAACCATTTTTTCTTCTTTTTTTGATTGAGAAAAAGGATTAGAAGACACTAAGATGTAAGAGATCTAAGGGAAAGAATTAGTGTTTAGATGGTGGAAGAAGCGAGGACGAGTGGGGGTATAAATAAGGAAATAAGTTAAACCTAAATGAAACGTGAAACAATTAATGACACGATATTATCTTATTCCACTTTTCATTGTATTGTGACCAGACCACCCATAGTGTTGAAATTTTGTGTTAATTTACAATCTGTGTTGGAAAATTTTGATGATTGAAACTTATTTTTGTGGTCCAGCGTAACCACGTGTCGTGAGGTGAGTGGATAAAAACATTGAATATGTGTGTACGCATTAACATAATATTATTTTTTAATCTGGATAAAATTTAAATGTTGTATTTTCGACTGTATAGATTTCCTCAAAACTTTTTTAATTTTCCATTTAACTTCCAAAATTCCAACAATTATGAATTTCAAAATCTAACTTCCAACCAATCCCAAAATATTGGACTATTATGTTATGTAATTTTATTTTGTGTTTAAAATTTCTTAATAATCTGTGTTTGTATCTTGTGTATTTAAAGTTACTTAAAATTTTAGTTGTTTAATAATATTAACTTTTATATTTTTGAAAATAAAGTTAGAGAAATATCTAACTTAAAATAAAAATGTTCTTGATATTAATTTTTGGTAATTATCTTTTTATTATTAAAAAGTAAGTTAATTACAATAATTCAAAATAATAAATAAACATTATGGCGTTTTAGTTTTTAAGTTAATTATAATCAAATTATAAATATTTATTTATTATGTTGTAAAAACAAAAATATGAATTAAAATTTTTAGAATAGGGTGTTGAATTTTGTAAAACAAACTATTGTACAGGTTTAGAATGAAATGGAGGCTGGATAATATAGAAGAGATAAAATATGATGTGAAATGTGAAAAAGAGAAAAAGAAGATGTTGAAATATGGAGGGTGTTGAAACTATTGTACATGATTAATAAATTTTATTAGTTAGTGGAAGCATTGAAACTTTTTTTTTTTGTAACACTGAAATTTAAGGATAAAGTTAAAAGCCTTTTACATTTAGGAGTAGATTTAAAAATCCAGACAATGCAATTTTTATAAATTATAGGATGCAAAACTTATCAAAAGTTTCCGAATACTGCAAGCAAAGCCATTCCTTATGGTCATTAGCTACAAAGTAAGAATGTCCATTAAAAGTATCGCATATGCAGAACTATCCGCCAATCCAAATGGTTTAAAAAAATTTATTAGAGATAAAATTGTTCTTCAAAATCATATAATAGAATTAAAGATTATATGATGATATTTATTGATTATCTAAATATTTCTTAATCAGGCACGTTTTGAGTATTGTGGATAGATGTGGTCTATTATAATATAATTATCCATGTATTAAAAATAAATAGATGTGATCTATTTTAGTTGTCTTTGAAGTGAAGGAGATGGCGAAAGAATCTCGGCGCCGTAAGATGGTTTTGCAGTTCATTTATTAGTTAAGAGCTTATGGGAGAGACAAAAAGCTAACAATTTATCTTTTTGCTTTTGTTTTGTAAAAGCATTTTATCTTCGTGTGTAATTAGTTGTCGTATGAGAGCATCATTATGCTAGAGACGTTTAAAGGGTTTCTTAATTAACTTTTCATACTATTTAATTAGTAAATTTGATTAAGAGATTTAGTTAAAAAAAATTAGTTTTTATATCCTCTATTACAAGTCTCTTATTTAAAGGTTTTTTTTAAAAAAAATTATTAGTATATGAACAATAAAACAGAGCAAAAAATGAACATAATAAGACTACACAAGTGACACAAGACAGACACAAATGGCACAAGACTTTAAAAAAAACTTTCATTTCAATCCTCAGCATTGTGTCAACTAAATAAGATATGTTCCTTAAGGCAATTTCCTTTTTTCTTTTTCTTTAATTCCTAATTAAACTAAAAACTTTGCTAAGACACTTGGATAAAGATTGCCTAACTCGTATCCTACTGAAGTCGTCCTACACGATTTCACACTAAAATTACACTTTAATGAACAGCCTAAATATTAGTTTTGTTTTGCTTTTTCCTTTTCTTTTGTAGCAATATTAGATGCATTAAAAAGTTAGATGCATTAACACAATGTGATATATTCTATTAAAACTATTTTGGAAGTATGACATTTCATTATCCTTTTAACTAGGCATGGACATGAAAACCGAAACCGAATAACCAAACCAAAATATTTGAAACTGAAACCAAACCAAATTGAAACTCTTAAATTTCCGAATGGTTCTTATATTTATATATTCAAAATAACCAAACTGAACCGAAAACCGAACGAGTACTCAAATATATAATAATATTAATTTTATATACATATAACATAACCAAATATATGATTTTAATTTAAAAATCTATTAGAAATATCCAAAAATAGTTGAAGATAACAAAATAATTATAAAGTATCTGAACTACCTGAAACTATACGAATAATTTTATCCAAATATCCAAAGTAGTACGAAATATCTAAAATCTGTATCTAAATCGTTCTAATTATTTGATATTTTATCCTAACTAACTGATAATTTACCCGAATGCGAACTGGAACTAAATGAGAACCAAATTTTCTAAGTATTTTTTCCTAGTTTTACTATCCGAACCGAACGCGAAACTATCCGAACCGAACCAAACCAAAAATAGGTCAAGTAGTAAATGGATCCTCTAACCCCCTATCCGAACTACCCGAAACCCAAAATATCCAAACCGAACCGATACCCGAAACGCCCAAGCCTACTTTTAACCATTTCACATTAAAATATTTTTTTACAATAAAATGAACACATAGTCGAGTACTCTATAATTACACTAGATGTTTTTCTGCACTATGTGCAGTAATAAACTTTTTAACTGTTAAATTATATTTAAAATAAAATTTATTAATATTATATATATTATTATTTTGACTAATATTTAATATAAATTTGATTTAATTAAGCAACAATTGAAATAGAGAGATTTTCGTCGGACTGTGTTTAATATATTATAAAGTTTGATTCATTTGTTTTATTGGTATTTAGGATAAATAATTTAAAATCAATTTTCATATGATTGAAAATAGAATTTTGGTTGAAAACTTGAAACTGAGTTTTCTTCTAACGATCCTAACATGTTCAAAATTGATTTAATAGATTAATGACGCTTTGGTTTTAGTTAAATTATCATTCATCCATGATATATACCAATATATTTCAATATTGTAAACTGTAAAAAGAGGATAATTAATGTTGGTATACAATGTGACTTGTTACTGTTAATAGTACGTTTTAAAAACATGTACAAACATCATATTAATGTAGAGCAGATAGAAATTCATTAGTTTAATTTGTATTCTCCATATCGTACTTATTTATTTGGTTAATGAAAATTTCACAATGAGAGCACAACCACTTGTAAAGTGTTACTAATATCTTTTATTACAAATTGCATTTTTCAACAAGGAATTTAAACACGTTTTCAACCAGATGTTTAGTAGTCGGACTTCTTAGAAATATTATTGGTAATAATGGGGACCATACAGTGAAGAAAAAGTTATGTATATTTATGCGTATGTATCACATGTCTTAACTAAAATCGGCTGAACCATCAGTACACTATAACTCATCGTTGCGACTGCTAGTCTTTTTTTTTTTCTAGACATTTTCGAATGTTAGTTTTAACGTTACATAAATATAAATTATATCAGTGAAGCGTACGTTTATTTAAGTTTTTCTAAAATGACTATTTAGTTATGTGAACAAAATTTATGTCAGCAAATTAAAAAAAAATCACTACGAAAATGAATATGCGTGGCTATTTCAGTATTTCGTGTTCTTCCAACTGATTATTTTATAATTTATGCATATACATGAGAATTTTTTTACGATAGATTTAAAAGAAAATTATCACAAATATAGATTTTAAAAATAAAAATGACTAAAATATATTTAAGGTTGTATTAAAAGAAGTAAATATACACTTATACTTTTAGGATTAGTTAATTTAGACATTATGATCTAGAGTTAAGAGGTAAGGTTTATGGTGTAAAATTGAAGACTAATGTTTTGGTGATAAGAGTTTAAAATTTTAAAAATTAAAAAATGTAAATTTTTAAAATAGAAAAAAACTAATTTGATCGTTTTAGTTTTTAAATTCTATTTGTGTAAAAAAAACTTAAAAGATCTAGTTGAGAGAATTACACATATACATTATTCTTTGGTAACTATTCTCATATGTTTTGATTACTGAACATTCGTATTTTCTTCACAAATTCCAACTCAGCGATTAAGATTAAAACTAGATATTGTTGGGCAGTTTGGTAGCATCCAAAATATAACATAACCTAGAATAGATAATTCAATATGGAAGATAGGATTCAAATTTGAGTTACTAGGAAATTAACATTTTGGCATCACTAGAGACATCGAATCAATACATGGTAATAAGTGACTAATCTAGATCACTTTTATAGAGTTAGGATACCTCTGTATAATTAAAAAAATATATATGCAAGACATGTTCAACACTTTTATAAATTATAATAATTTAAAATCTAATAATTTATGTTTATTTAAAATTCTAAAACATTTTTTTGTTATACAGTTTTATCAGTAATAATTTTTTTTCCAATAAAAACTATATACACATAATATTTTGAGATCATTTTCAATCTATTAAAAAATATTATATAAAGATAGTGAGAGATCTTTTTCAATCTATTAAGATAACTAAAGTCCAGAGACATGGACTTAGATCCTAAATGGTTGCACCGTTTGTACTCCTTTGTTAGCCTGCCTGCTAGTATAATTTATGTTGGTTTTACATTAAAGAAAGAAAAAATCAGTTTTATTCAATCTCGTATTTAATACTCTTAAAAATATGCTGTTTATATTTTTCATTAGTTAGGTGTTTTACGCAGGTGCAAACATCATAATTCTATAAATCTTTTAAAATAAATACAAATC